GATTAATACAAGCTTCAATTTTCTGAATATCTCCTACTTGTGTGCTGTAGCTTTTTATATTTGGTTCTGTCATGTATATTGCTGTTTGATTTTGTTGTGAAATTTCCTTTTAATTATCTGATAATAGAGAATACTCAGCTTCTATTGTGCATGGATGTTTTCACAAAGATACTATATGAATTGAGATTACGTCCATTCTTGGAATTGCTAGAACATGCGCCACAGGTATACTGTTAATAGAAAAACACAGAGTATCTTCTAATTTTTTTCATTGACGTCATATAAAATGCAGGTGGATTTTCTTCTTTACACCTAAAGAATATGATGGTTTGATTTTACTGAAGATTAATATGATGCTGGAAATGCCGCTGGAAATCTGCTGGTTTGATTTTACTGAAGAATGGATGCCATGATCACTGGAAATCTGCTGGTTTGGTTTTACAGAAGAATATGATGCTGGAAATGCCGCTGGAAATGGCAATAGTGCGCTGTGTATGTCACTGTAGCGGGTCATGCATTGATAGTTCGGCTGTTTTGTTGTGGGCTTGCTGGGTATTGGGGTGCTCTGCTGTTGAAGATATGGCCATGGCGCTCCTAATGTTGCCTCCAACACATGACACCATCCTCGGGTACCTAAAGGTCTTCGGTTGTATTATTTTCCATGAACAGTGGCTTTTCTTTGGTTTTGTTCTCTTTCATAATGGAATTGGGATGCTTGGCTTTTGGAGTACTATGGGCTTTGGTTTTTCTCTTTGCTGGATATGAATGCTTCGGCCATTGGAATTTTGCTGGATTCGGTTTTGCATCTTGAAATGGCAGTCGAGCATTTTGGTTTTCACTGTAGCAGGTGCTGGTTGTTATTGCTGGAAATGGCTTTTTATCCATATCAATCTTGCTGTAGCAGTGGATTTTCTTGGTTTTTTTCCGATTGTGGACTTGCTTGTTCCAGCAGAAATGACAAAGGGGATCAACGACGAGGACATGGTGGACAGCTCTCATGCTAGTTCTTGTCTAAGCAGTCTTTGTATTCTGTTTGTTCAGGAGCTAGATATGTTGAGCTCACAAGTATTTTGTGTATTTGTGTTCAGGAGCTCCAGCTTTGTAAAGCCCATAAGTCTTCTGTGACAGTTTTTGTAATTTTTACTTTTGGTATAGTGAGGTTATCTCACTATTTGATGTTCACGCTCCCATACCTATGGGAGGCATCATGTATTTTGCTATGTATTAATGAAGTTTTCTTTTTCAAATTTTTTTAAATAATTGGTAGATTTTTCAATTCCAATTTCTCCATGATTCTGGAGTGTAATTTGTTCTATGATAATCATATTTAGACAGGTTTTGAGTATTTGTGCATAATATTTTTGACTGGTTTTTTTATTTGATTTGTATAACAGCCCCAACGGTTGGAACCGTTGGGGCTAATATTAGCCCCAACGGTTCCAACCGTTGGGGCAAAAGTTTTTCTTTTTTTTTAAAAGAAAAATATTTGCCCCAACGGTTAGAACCGTTGGGGCAAACTTGGCAACCGTTGGGGCTGACTCAGCCCCAATGCAATTTGCTCCAACGGTCTTTTTTTTAGCACCAACGGTTGTAACCGTTGGGGTCATGATTTGCCCCAACGGTTGTAACCGTTGGGGCAACCCTGCTTTGCACTAGTGTACGTTGTAAGGAAGTAGTCTTTGAAACCTGCATGAGAATTAGAAGGATGGTGTCAAATATTGCCGAAATGATGATTTAAAAAATCGTACAGTCAACCCAACTTTCATAATGAAGTAGACGACTACATCAATGTCCAACCATTATATCTCCACCAGTGGACTGTAAGCATATCGTTATATTATATAGATTATCATATATCTCATGAAGACAGAAAGTCATGATGCATGATTCATTCTTTGTAAATGCAGGTCTTCTCTGAATACCAAAGTCAAGTTTCAAAATTTATGAAGTCTTGGAATCTTCTCGTTTAACATCTTCTTCTATTCTTTTTAGAATAATACCATACATATCCGCGAGTGAATTATCCGTGATTTTCATTAAAATGCATAGCTTCCACAAATTAGTACCATTTTAGCTGGCTTTTGTCTCAACTTTATGGTCTCATGCTGCACCAAACTCTGGCTACCATTTGAGAAGGAAACTAATCAAGATTTTGGGTTCTGATCACCTACACTTGTGCTATACCAAGACTAAATAAGTGTTGCATTTTTAGTGTTTCCAGCTCTGTCCACTACAACCTACACTTGTGCTATACCAAGACTAAATAAGTGTTGCATTTTTAGTGTTTCCAGCTCTGTCCACTACACAACTAAGTTAGTACACTTCCAGACTAAATAAGTGTTGCATTTTTAGTGTTTCCAGCTCTGTCCACTACACAACTAAGTTAGTACACTTCAATCTCCCTCCCTCTAATTTCTGAATTTATTTTCACTGCCAAGAATTAGAAAGAACCGCTCCAAAGCCTATTACTCCATTCAAAAGCCGACTCCAATCCTAAGTATCTCTTCCTTTAATTCCCAACAAAATCCGATAGCTATTTTTCTATAGTTTCTAAAGCCCATAGAGATGCTAAGAGAAAGAATAGGCACAAATAGCTTTAGTGGCTTCATGACTGTGTGGATTTGATAATGGTCCAAGCAACTAAAGAATCTCAACAATGCTTCAGGCACTACAAGAAAATTAACAGTAAGGTTTTCCCATGGACAAATAGGAACATCATGATTTGTTAAGATGTACCTCTGTTGTATCAGATAGATGACTTCTCTCTTCAATTATTGCCATATTATTTGCCTTAAAGTGAAAAAGGAGATAGATGAAAATTTTACTTTTAAGCATATCTTAATTTGGAATAGTTTGATTAGCAACCAAAGCTACTAATGAGACCTCAGTAAAATGGCTTGAGAAATGGCAGTCATACAAGAGAAAAATCATGCAGACTAGATATTGTGTTTGACTAGAATAGCTTTGCACTTAAAGAGACTACTGATATTTGTAGGTTCAGGCTCAGTATTTGCATTTGACAGGTTGGCGGTCGACCGCGTTCGTGCACGGGGGTTACTGTGCCCTTGATTGTTTTACGGTCGACCGTCACGGTCGACCGCGCTTGCTGCAGCAGAGTTCCTGCGGTCGACCGTGGACCGGTCGACCGCGAGATGCCCGGGAGTCCTGAAGCTTAAGCCCGTCTCAGGACGTTGGAGCGGTCGCGCGCAAAGCACGATCGAGCGGGCGGCCGGAAGCGGGTTGGACTGAGTTCTGGGTTCCAGACCCGTTTCGTTTGTGAGTTGTATAAATACCCCTAACTCGTTTTTAGGGTTTGTGAGAGAGGATTTTGAGCTGAACTAAGAGGAGGTTTGGGGCTTCTATTGTTGGAGCCATTTGGAGAGATTGAGAGGGCTTATTTGTGGGTTTTGGTAAGATTTGTAACCCTAACTTGTATTCTCTTTGATTTCTAATAGCAAAACTCCCCTTTCCTTACACCGTGGACGTAGACAATTTGCCGAACCACGTATATTGTGTGTTCTTGCTGTGATTGGAGTTGCTTGTTATTATTGTGGTCTATTATTGGCTCTTGTGTGTGCTTTTGATCTTGCCGAATCGGCTTCCGCGACGCACAACAAGTGGTATCAGAGCTCCGGGTTGGATTTGAGAGTTTATTCGAAGGATTCACTATTGGATTCTTGTTGGAAGAGTAGATCTACAATATGGTTAAAACAAGCAAGACTAGTTCAAGTGCTACAAGTACATCGGGGTCGGCTTTGACAAAGGTGATCCAAAGTTTGAGCATCAATAATACTAAAATTGATGTTCCAAAGTTTGACCGCAAGATCAATTTCGGCTTATGGAGGTGTCAAGTTATGGACGCCTTAGATGCACAAAATTTGGAGGAGACTCTTGAGCTACAAGAGAAACCCGAAGATGTTGAAGATAAGGTTTGGAAGAAAATGAACAGTAGAGCTTGTGGGGTGATTCGGTCATGCTTGACGCTGGATCTCATTTATGATGTGATGAATGAGACGTCGGCGAAGAGGTTGTGAGAAACGCTCAATGAAAAATATTTGACGAAGAGCATTGAGAATAGGCTTCATTTGAAGAAAAGGTTCTACCAATTCAAGATGAAGAGAGGAGTTTCTATTCGGGAGCATGTTAACAACTTCACAAAGCTAATTTCGGATATGGCTAATGTGGATATTATGGTTGAGGATGAAGACAAGACAATGTTATCATTGTGTTCGTTGCCGGATGACGAGTTTGGTACATTTGTTCTCACTATGATAAATGAACGAACTACAGTTAGCTACAAAGAGGTGACCTCGACATTGGTGAATTATGAGCTGAGGAAGAATGATGGTGAGCCCTCCGAGAAGGCATCGGGTGATGCATTAGCAGTTCGTGGTCGTAGTCCAAACCGTCAAAGATTCAACCGTTTAAAATCAAAGAATATGGGTGGCCATAAGAGTGTTGGTAGAAATCAATGTGCCTTTTGCAAAGAAGAGGGTCATTGAAAGAATGAGTGCCCAAAGTTGAAGGATAGAACCAGGAAGCAAAGGGGGAAAGTTGTACAAGATTCAGAGGTGAATGCTGCTAAAGTCGTTGGCGACACTTCAGATTCGGATTCTTCCGGTTATTCTTGTCTCGCACTGCCGTCAGTTTGTTATGCCGACTCTACGGAGTGGATGCTTGATTCGGGAGCTACATTTCACATTTGTCCTAAGAGGGATTGGTTTACCAACTTTGAGGAGTTAAAGAGAGGAGACGTGGTACTCACGGGGAACGATCACGTTTGTCCTATTATTAGGATTGGCTCAGTCCGGATTAGAATGCATGACGGAGTGACTAGGGAGTTGAAAGAAGTGAGGTTCGTGCCGTAGTTGACGAAGAACCTCATTTCTCTTGGGATTTTGGAGGCATCCGGCTATAGAGTGATCTTAGAGGATGCTAGTTTGAAGGTCATGAAGGGGTCCATGGTGGTGATGCGAGGTGTCAGAGAAAATAACCTCAGAGAAAATTCACAGTCAGTGATGCAAGAATCTCAATAGAAACTAGAACCTGGAGTTATGGGATTTAACAAATAAATGGTTGGTGTATTTAAAAGTATGGGAAATTAGTACCAGCTGAATCACACCCTTGTCAGTGATTGCTGTCATTCCCCACAAGGATATAGATGTCAGGCTGCTGGCACACCTCGCCAAAGATATCTGGTAGAGCCCTGCATCAGTTATATGACAACCCCAGCAACTGTGAGAACTACAGAAACACAGCGAATTAAAATAGAATAGTCATATAACTACTCAGAGAAAATGGTTACACTAGTGAAATTTCTTGTTTCGGAATTCATTGCTATACTGACATACAGATAACTTTTTCATTTAGTTACAGGATTAGAGATCACAGAGGATACGACCGCAGATAAATGATGACTACTGATGCTTGTGCACATGTCTGCCAATATTAGTCATCTATCTAAAAAAGACTTGCAGTACAGTTTTCTTGTGCGGGTGAGCAATGTTAAGATTCCTAACAAATATCATTTGGATTAGCTTTAATAACTTGCCAGTTTCATGAGGTATTATGTTGATAGTAAAAAGGTTCCAAAACGAGCAGATGCTTCCTCAATAATCTACTAAAATTTCAAAATGTTTTTGTACAAAAAAGTCTCCAGCTTAGGTTCATCTTTTAATCGTAATAAGAATAGTAGTGTAGTTAATGTAAAGTCAGTGTAGGTGGGCTAAAAAATTGATAAGTTGTGAATAAGTTTAGCCCACCTTTTTGTTCCTGCACAATTCGGTATTTTTGCTAGCCACTTTCAGTGTAATTCCTTTTCCCAAGCTTGCCGTTCTTACAAATACTGGCATACTAATAGCAAAGCTCTCATACTATTCAAATTGGGAAGAACAATACTTTCTCATCTTCGTCTTCTCAAGATACACAAATCAGATTACATATATATACATTACCCCATGATTTGTGCCTTGAAAAATTGCCTTCAACATACAAATCTAATATGTAGTCTTGGATTTCTAAAGTTAATTAGTATGCTAATAGTTCATCACAGCTGAACCTACCACAGCTAAAACATTACAATAGAAAGTGGTATCCTACACAACATATCTCAACGAGCAGCTAATATTTTCTGAGCTCAAGGTTGGTTATTGATAAAAACCAACCAAAAGCAAAATCATTATGAGCCTAATTCTATACCTTTAGATATTTCGCTTCCTAAAAACTCTTATACCTTTTCTTGTTATCGGAAAACTAGTGAACCTCCAGCCACATGTTGCTCAGCAGTATGTTTGTCTAATTATATCAAAAAAATAAAACTAGTTTATTGCTGTTTGTCTACTTTCCTCTATATATAAAAACGTAGAAACAATTAAAACATAATCGTTGTGACGAAACGACTATTCTCGGACATACATTCCTCATAATTTTGAGTATAGCTACATCTACATGATTTGAGGTCTCAAATGTAGTTGCAAGTACAAGAACAAAATTTTGTTGCAAAAACACCAAAAAAAAAAAAAACAACTGCAATGTTGCTGAAGCAACATCTGGCTCCAACTACAGGCAACCAAAAACCCCTTAAACGAACTGTTTTCTTCTGCCTCCTAACCACCGCCAAATCAGGAAATATACATACTTGGACATGAATAATGCCTTAGGCCTCGCTTGATGAAGGTTCAGGGAAGGGGGTTAAGCTAGTCAACCCATAACTCCTTAACCAACTTTTATTTTAGCCCTTGAGCTTTTAAGGGTTTGAGAAGAGAAAAGTTATTATTACTTTTTCTTTATAAGATAAAGATGTTATTTTTAACCCGCCCAAACATGTGGCTTTGTAAACCCACCATTTCGAGGGCTTAAATTATTTTTAACCCCTTAAAAGGGTTATCTTAGCCCTTTGATTAAGGAGAGATTAACTATCCTTTAACTCCTCATCAACCCATTTAACCCGGCGCCAAGCAACACCTTGAGTATTTGCAGATAACTACGCTAGTATTAATATACCCCCAAATGAAACACTTCTACAAACAGTAACAAGATAAAGAGCAACGAATTCAGAAATGATATGTGATATAAAAGAGAGAAAAATAGATAAATAATTGAGAGTACAAACATGTCAAGTTCCTTCAGGCAGTAAGCAACTCGGACAAGCCGAGCAGTTGACTCGTCATCCATCTTCCAACCGTTGAAGCTGAGCTTCTCTCTCCCCGCCATCGACTGCTCCACCGCTCTCCTCCATTTCCTACAAACCCCACTCGCCCTACAAAAATAAAAATAAAAATAAAAACCCAATTCAAAAAAACAAACAAAATAAGTATAAAAAAAATGAGAGAGAAAACCCCATTTCATAGAATTGAGAATTAAGAGGAATTACTGAGCTAAATATCTGAAGGAGGAGAGGAGGGAGAAGATATGGGCTAGGAGGTCTAGCTAGAGGGAGCCTCTCCATCTCTGATTCCAACTCCATGGGAGCTTGACTCTTCTCATGTTCCCCCATGTTTTAATTTGAGCGGTGGGTGAAAGAGAGAAGCAAAAGAGGAAGAGAAGATTGAATTGGGTTTGGGTCAGCTTATTTATAGCGTGAGAGAGGGAGAAGAGAGAGAGAGAGAGTACGTTATGTGCTCAACTTATCGTCATTGTTACCCTCGAGACAGCGGGAGGATTGATTTTATTTGCTTCTTGTTTTCCCTTTGGAAACGGAAACGTTTTTGAGCTGAATCCGGAAAGGAAACACGTGGCTCATTATGCAAGAAAAGTAGAGGGGATGGGATCCGCTATGAGAC